ATTGCGCTAGATAATTTCAGGTTTTCATACTGCAGAACATCTGAAACACTKCTCAATATCTTGATGAAATGCCCAACACAAAATGCTCAAAGTAACCCACAAAAAAAAAACCCCAAAGAGATTCCCCCACTTCTCTTATCCATTACAGATAGTTAAGGTAAATTTAATAGACTTTCTGCATACAAACATTTTCCACCTTTCACTTATAATTCAATTGTATTATAAAAAGTTCTACTAACMACAATAACCACTTTTCACAAGCCCCAACAAATTCTTACAAATTTTTGAACTATTTCTTATTTTGCTTGTATAAAACCATCATCTTCTGTGGAGAAATRCTCACCTCTTATAACAGGTATACCAGTGGAGAGACTTGGTGTTTTCCTTGTTACTGTCCCTATAGGATCTGCTGAACTGTCGTAGCAGTAATGGGGAGCATCTTATTTTACTTTCCTATAAATGAAGAATATCACATTTCAATACCATTTGGTTCCTCAGTTTTGAAGAGATAAAGTACACCTGCTATTTTAATTTATCTTCCTATGCTGGTCTAAAGGCTGTTCTCAAAAGATAAATTTTCTTCAGCAAGTAAAACCCTCATGCTATTCTTGCTGTATTCTGAGACACAGAATAGAATGTATCCAAGTAATGTCTATCCTTCCATCACAATCTATAGCCCATCCCTCTTTGAATTTCTTAATGACTCCAGCTTCAAAGATCACATCCTGCTCTTTGTCTTCTTTGCCTGGTTATCTGTTTTCTACAGCACAAAGGTCCTGTGGCACTTCCATGTAGGAATTCTTCATTTAGCATGTGTTGTCTGCTGAGTTGGTGTCTTCCTAATGTGAAGGCGTACTGCATTTATTTATAATGGTTTTAAAGGTACAATAATATTAAATAAATATGACTACAACTTGAAAGATAAGAGAGGCAAGCATCCAGCCTGGGTTATTTCAGGCTGAATAATAATGTTTGTCTGATGTTGGCAACTAAACCCAGAATCTCATAATGGGAAAGTGCCAGGAAACCTTGAGAAGGAATCACAGTGCCAACTCTGAAATAAATTAGCCTTACTAGTGATAATATTTTTTCCCTCAGATCAATAGGGGCAGCAGAGAGTTCCTGCTTCTTCAAAGCTGGGATGTCAAATGTATTTCCTGTGACAGCTCCAAGCAGCACTTGCCCTTATTGATGTGTTAAGGCAGCCTGGACCCTAGTTGCTTCTCCACAACTAGCTCCGTGATTTCAGGAAACGGCCAGAGTTTGAGGAGGGAGAGATGATAAAAGAGCCTGCACGTAATGTGATGTGATATGATAGTGGCACCGAGGTGCCTCTGCCCTGCTGCCAAGCTAACCGCAGGACGGGTTACACARTGAAGCTCTCTGCCGTCCTCTGTTCTCACATTTTCCTGCTACTCTACCCAAGGAGAGGGCAAGCTACTCCTGAGGAAGGAAAACTCCTTTGGTGGTAATGGGTATTTGGGGAAATGGGAGAATTACCAGACTTGGCAAGTAGGACAAAGAGATCTTATGGTGCTGAGGTGAGCTATAAAACAAATAAGGGGGTGATTACAGCACTAATGTTTCTCTTGGATTAATTTTACTAGCTAAAGAGGCATATTTGAGAATTCTTATTTATTTATTTTTATTCTCACCTACAGGTTAGCGAAAAGGATAATTTGTCCCTTATTACAGAATGAATCTAGCAAATTCACTTTAATTTTTCCAGTGCTAAAGCCTATATAGAAATGTATGAGAATGATTGTATATAACAGCTCTTACATGAAGATTTAAGTGTTATCTGAAGATACAGTTAAAATAAATCATAGGAAATAGGAGAACTGTGTATAGAAGAAATCTAGTTTAGCACAAATGAAGAAAATTTTGAAAGGAAAACAAGAAACCTGGARAGAAACTCCACTGAGACAAACATAAAAGGAATTTGTATCAGGAAAACAAAAGGACAATAAAGAGCAAACTACTTGGCCGAATTTGAAGAGATACACGTGTTCWAGGTTTCATACATGAGACAGAAGAGAGAAGGTAAGTTAAGATCTCTTTCTTCTGAGTTTAATGCAGTGATTATAGGTCATGGTACTGTCCAATAAGAGGTTTTAGAAGTTGATGCATCACATCAGATTTGGGGACTTAGAGAAAGGTCACAGGAATAACATAAAAAGCCACTGCATCATGATAGGAAAATCATGGAGAAATGAAAAGGATGTAAACAGAAAATAATCTTCTTAAATATCAGAAATAGCTTTGAAAAACAAGGGGAAGGTAACAGAAGAAACAAAGCTGCAAAGTGTGTGGGCAGGTGTTGAATACAAGAAGCAGCATGCCAAGAAGATAAAATTCTACATCGAAAGAAAAAAAAAAACCCTCACTCCTRATTATGGCATAGTTATGATTATGACTATTTTTGGTGGGCAAAGAAGGTAATTCATATTTTGGAAGACAAAGMCAGGGTTGCCAGATGACTTGGAAACAAGAAAGTAAGTCTTAGTTTGCTTTCCAAATGGCAACTTGGAAAGACACCTGGGATTTATACTTCCCACTGGAGATAAAAAAAAAAAGAGAACACAAGCAATATTATGGGTTTTTTTTCTACCACTTGTCTTTGTCCTGCTAGTGGTGCATAAAATACATAAAATGAGGGATTTGGCTTGCAAGGACAAGTATGGATTTATACAAAACAAGGAATTTAACAAGCAAAAGATTAGTCTGATACATAGATGTAAACATCAAAAAAAGAAGAGAGAAATTATCAGCAAATAACATAATAGAAATAATGTATTAGAAAGCACAAATCTAGCAAGGGAATACACTGATATCAAAGTACTGATGAGAGGGGATTATGACACTGGAAGGAGAGTGGAGTCTTAACTGGAAGAGTCAGAATAAGTAAAACAAGAAAGCAGACAAAATAAAGGAAAAAACAGAGCATGTCAATTAAAAATTTTAGGTGACATGAAAATATAACATAGCTGTGCATTATGTAAGAGAAGACCATTTTAAATAGTAATATGTATATGCTTATTAGACCAGGTTTCAATAATTCGGTCTTGGAAACTATAGAAAGACCTTAATACTGGCTGGATTTTGTCAGAAATGCAGATTAGGCTCAGTTTTATTGACTGCAGTGAGAGCTTTTGGCATTAAAAAAAAAGGCATTTTGGTATTGGTTAGAAATCTATAAAAATATASGCACAAACCCAAAGATTTCTATGTCCTGAATTTTGACACATGAGTTTGAAAATACTGGATTTATTAYAGGCTTCAGCCTGACTGGAAATACCCTCATTCTTAAATTGGCCTTGCTACTTGTCCTATGTTGTTTTCATCAAAGGCTGCTTTGGCTGCCTTTCTTCTCACCTTGATAGACAGGTCCAAATTTATTCAGGAAAAAAAAAAAAAAGTTACATAGTGAAGTCAAAACTCCTGTAGCAATTCTGAAATACTTACACTCCCTATTCAAAATGCTACATTACATAAATCAAACCATTTATTGATGTCTGTTTCAATGGAGTTCAATATTTTTGAGGGCTGGTTTACTAACAAGCTGCAGCTAACCCTGTTTAGGTTCTCACAGCAAGGGGGTTGCATCAATAGCATTTTGTTCACAGAACAAAGCCTGAAATTGCAACAAGCCTCACTTGATCAGTGAGGAAGTCATAAATTCACATTCTCCATTAACTTAACTGTAGAAATTGTAAATTACAGAATATTACCAGGCGCTGCCTTTGTATTTACTGTAGTCTTAGTGTGTAAGCAAGTATGGATGGAACTGTTTAGCCCAAGTAAAAATTAATATTTGGAAATACGCTTGGAAGATGAGWCATGCCTAATAATGAATCTCCTTCTCTAACTATGAAAATTACCCTGTCAGCTATCACTGCTTCTCTGAAAGACAGATAAGAACCAGATGTTAAAATAAAGGCAGACATAAAGGCATATTGTATTTACTTCTTTTTGTCCCTCTCCAAATCTTGTAATTAGTTCCTGAATAATTCATTCTATTAGAGGGAATAAAAAAAAAMMAMYTYYTTTTTTTTAAAACYTTTCCCCTAAGTTTAGAGAGTGATTTCATGGTATTCTAGCAAAAAGTGCAGAACACACCAGGCACGTGGCAAATATTACTCTCTGAATGTCATTTGACATATATGTTATGTTTGGGGAAGAAATCTCACTTGCCAGAGTTAACAAGAGTTTGCTGGCAAAGGAGCAAGGAAGTGGGGAGAAAACCTGAAACCCGATTTTTTTTTTTTCCTGGAACTCCTTTGTTTGATCAAAAACCKACACAAGATGGTTGTTGGTTGTAGGAGATGGGAACATTTCATAGCTGGTATAGGCCTGTGCTGACAGGTAGTTATCCAGGTGGTTARCACATCTTTCAAAGTTAGATATTCTTACTGATGGGAAGCAATAGGGAACATTCACAACTAGTTTTGGGAGTACAAAGCTGTCTGAAGAGGAGGTCTGAGTTTCTGCTCCCCAGTTGTCTATGCCTACCCTCAGCAAGCGGGGCTGTAACTTGTCCTGTGTGGGGTATGGGAACACGCACTCGGCTATCCTGACATTCYGGGGAGCTTCAACACCCTGCAGTAGCTGGAGCTGCTAATAAAAAGTCATTACTTTCACAGCAATTTTACATGCAGRGAGCAAAAACGATTTGCAGACATCCTAATAGGTTAACGCCAAGTTTGGATAAATAGCATTTACATCAAGAGCCTGTAAGAAGTTGTATGCTTCTGTCGAAGCGTTATTTTAGAATTAACGCCTGTTAGAACACGGTACCGAGGCGCACAAATGCACTAACGGCAGAGACTTTTCAACTCCCGTGAGATTTAACGAACCATGGGAACAGTTCCCGCCTCCCAAACCGGTTCCCACTCGCCCCCCTCAGCGCCACGACATGGCGGCGGGCGCGCCCCGCCCCCTGCCCCGCCCCTTGCCCCGCCCGCGCGCGCTTTGGCGCGAAACGGCAGCGTGGCCCGCGGTGGCGGCGGTATGAACGGTTGTGGATCTGGTCGTGAGGCCGCTCTCCATAATGGGTACGGTATCCGCGATCTGACCCGGGCCAGCCGTGCCGGGGGGGCTGCGAGTGCGGCCGGGCCGTTGGGCGCGGGACATGGAGGTTTAACGGCCGTTGGGCGCGGGACATGGAGGTTTAACGGCCGTTGGGCG